TTACGCAAAAAAAAAAAAAAAAAAAAAAAACCAAAAAAAAAAAAAAAAAAAAAAAAAAAAACTGGTTTATTCTTGCATATCACTAACTGGTTTATGTTTTAATACAAATATTTGTTTAGAATTTAGGTTGTTTCATCGTTTTTCGTTTTATATAAAACTCCCCAACTGTGGGAATGTAGGTCATTCAGTTTGTTTCACAAAACTAGTCTTAATCTTTCAACAGAGGTAGTTGGTTTTGAATCATTTAGTTTTTGCAAAGGTTCTGAAAAGGATGCAAGAGAATCTGGATGAAGCTTGAGCGAAGCTGCCAACCCCTTTGGTGTCGTGGTTGCCCCACACCACACTAATAAGAGGTTTAGTTGTCTCCCCTTCTTAAAAAAGAATAGAAAATTGGCAACACTTACATCCTGATTGGACATCTCCCAGTATGGCCGTTCTCCATATGACATCACCTCCCAGAGAACGATGCCATAACTCCAAGCATCGCTGGCTGATGTAAACTTCCTGTAGGCGATTGCCTCTGGGGCTGTCCACCGGATGGGGATTTTTCCTCCCTGTGATCAGTAAGAGAAAGAATTATCATATGATATGATTTTGCCTTAATATGATTTTTTTTTGTGTGGATGAATTCTATAATTCTATGCGGACATTGCTGGCTCTTGGGGGAGTCGTGGAATCAAGTGGTAAAGAGTTGTTTCATGTAATTTGTGACCTTCATGTGCAAAGATAAATTACTTGATAGCAAGGCATAAAGTATAAGAGTGAATTTTCCATCCCAGGCTGGAATCTTATGCCTCTCCTTTGCCACCCTATTATCTCCCTAACACTACTGTGTTTTTTGTTTCAATGGTGTAGGAAGATATGCTGCATTAGTTCAAAAAGCTCCATCACTGCCTTCCTACACATTGTTGGACATATTAAAAAGTTAGAAAGCATGAGTTCTATATGTATATAACAGAGGTGAACCACTGCTATGGCATTTACTTAACTGCAGTTCAAATATGGAGGAAATTGCCCAACAGCAAGATTTCTTAATCTCATGCAACAACGTACAGACACTCTGTCTGCAGTGATGAAGAGTCAGTGTTCTTAGCATGCCAGATGCTTAAAACTAAAAGTGAAACTGACAGGATGACTGTCTGATTCATTCAGCTAATTATTATCTAAAAACTTAGGGGTATTCACAGAGTATTGAAATGTACTTCCAAGTATGAAAACATTTATTTATTAACATGTCATTATACTGATACCCACTCATAATTTAAACTTGAAGCACATGAAAAAAATACGTATACGCAAAAATTCAGCAATACTCGACGTTCCAAAAAATATGCCTTTTATCCCTTGCATACAGACCAGTGTGACAAATGTTTTCCAATATGCAATGGTAAATGGCAAATTAGAGAGCTTCTAAAATTACTTTTTATTAATACAAGTGTGCTCAAACCAGTTAAAAGTAGAAGATGTCTGGATCTAAATTTATGATGAATCAAAGAGAAGCTAAACCAAAATAAGCCATCCGGTTTATAAAAACTTGAGGCAAAAATATTGACTCACAGAATTAAATTATAACAAAAATATTTGAACAGATTTAGTCTTAATTAAGATTAATTCACATCAACATTAAAGAAAGGAAGGAAAATATAAACCAAATTATATTCCAATGTTTCCTTTGTGCAACAAAATTTGTTTTTCTTCCTGAAAAGCAAGACAAATGAAGAAAATAGTGCTAAGGAGAGGATGTTGACATTGGCCAATTGTAACAGAGACAGCCAAGTCAGTTCGCCTTTGCTTTGGAATGCACAGTTATACAGACTGTTATCTAAAAAAATCTAAGTTATTATGCTGTCTACTGCTGATGGAAACACTGGAAAAAGAAAGGACAGTGAAAACACAGACAAATGATTGCACAAATAAACTTATAAATCTCATAAATATGACATCTTCCTAAACATATGCTCTATTAAACTCTCAAGCGGCGGTAAAAAAAAAAAAAAAAGTCTAGACATGCATATACAAAAATCAAAAGTTTATTCAAGCAGAGACAAGAAACAATAAAAAAAAGCTTCTAACAAGCCTTTGAGTCTCATGGATGATGGAGTTGTGAATCTGTGTTATTATTCCATTTTATGCATCTTCTGTGAGAAAGGCAAATGCCACACAGACTGTTTATTTGAAAAGCAATTCTCAACCAGCAAATTAAACCCTGTTTTAAAGGGTTGCATGGATAGTTTAGACCAGAAGACGCTATGCTGACCACTTATGCACATACACATATACACAGGAGAAAAAAAAGACAGATGAACGTCTGGAACATGACACGGCTCCTGCTATGTTTCAGTTTCTGACAAGAGCATCTACTGCAGAAGTAAATCAAGAACAAAAATCACAAAAATGCTAATGAGGTTAAGTCATTATTTTCATCACGAATCCTCTTTTATGTTGCTGTTCTGGATTAACCTAAATAATGTTTGCAATTATTTAAATAAATAAAAAAATCTGTCAACTGGATAAATATATTTTGGGTTTTATATTCCTTTAGAATGTGTCTGCATGTAGAACTTGTACATCTACAAATCTCCAGAGTAAAATTAAAACTCATTCTACTTTGAAGGAAACTGAACAAAGAAAATCTATATCTTCACATAATGTTTCACACTTCCTAAACAACATTCTTCGAAATAAAAAAAAAAAAACTGCTTTTAGAGAAGAAAATTCTGTGCAGTTTTGTTACAAATAAAAACACTACATTATATCTGTCTATACTGTGATGTGCAAAAATAAAAACTTAAGCTGTGTATCTTTCTATGATTTTGGCAAAGTTGTTTTTTATTTCAATAAGCACCTAACAAAGAAGAATGATGAGCCGCAGGACCTTTCTCAGTGCAATAATTCATGTAGTTCACCGTGTTCTTGATTTGCCTTTGTGGCCCAGCTTACCCTGGTGGTGTACGCAGCCTCCGGGTCGTCCTCCAGTACTCTGGACAGGCCAAAGTCTGACACTTTGCACACCAGATTGCTGTTGACCAGAATGTTTCGGGCTGCCAGGTCTCGGTGAACGTAGCCCATGTCTGACAAATATTTCATGCCCGAGGCGATGCCACGCAGCATGCCGACCAGCTGGATTCCTGTAAACTGGGCATCATTTTTCTAAAAGAAAGAAAAACAGGCAAGGGAGAAAGAGTTATAGGAAATAAACGTACAAAACTGCGAATGCTGTACTTTTTGAATATAAATACGAGAGGTGGAGAATGACCTTTTCTCATTAGAACCTGCAAAATTTTCATTAACCTTTAAAAAACACCTCTGACATTCCTGTACTCAATCTTAAGCTTAAGCTGAATCCCAGGGCTATAAAAATGACTGGATGAAAGTTAGGTTAAAGAAATTTGAACAACTTGAAGAAGTATTCATACCCCCCTAAAGTTGTTTGGCACAATTCAACCACAACCACTATTTGGATTACAGATAATGAACCATTGGACCTCCACCCTTGGCATCCTGTAGCTAGTACAAAGAAATTTCCAAAGAATCTAAAAGTGTCCAACATTTCTTGTATGTCTCTGTTTTGTATCAGTGGTCATCTGCGGGTTTCCTCTTGCTCTACTTTACCCTCTGCTTGTCAAACACCGCAAGGAGAACTAAGAGCAAGATGAGTTTGTATGATGAGCGTGTTTTTCTTTGAAAACCAATCAGACCCACTTCTTCTCTTATTTCATCCGGACCCTTTATAGGCCAGGCCACCTGGTTTAGTCACTTCAAAGCTTCGGTGGATGCAGTATGCTGACATAAGCTGCGATGCATAACACAGAGAACATGGACGTGCGTGTATTTGTATGTGCGCCCCCGTTCTTGGTGATGAAGAACAGGCCTCCGGGAAAACATGAGGAAATAACAGTTATAGCCGCCATGGGTATGTTTGGATACAGTACAGACGTGGAAAAAATGTGTAAAACAGGCATTGGCACTCATGCTTTCAAGCCAGTAATGTAACTTGGCTGATGTACTTTAACTAATTTCAGTGAGTGGATCAATTCTTCAGCAAACAACTGAGCCATGGCAACAGTAAAAATCCAGCTGAACTGGAAAAGCAATGAGAATACAACTCAACAAATATTGATACTTTATGAGACCGATAAAAAAAAAAAAAATCACATTTTCAAGTTTTTTTTTCCTTCTTTTTTCAAGCTAAATGAACATGTATTGACAATTTAAAGTCAATGTGTGTGTGAAATATGGACATGAACCTTATAATTGTGTATGACAAATTACACAATATGTATTTGGAATGTGATTTTCCAAATAGCAGAATGGAAAAAGGTTTTGAAGCAGAAAGGAAAAACAATTCCTTATGTAGTTTGCACTACAAAATCAAACTTGTGGTATATAATGTGTGAACCTGAGACAGAGTAGAGCTAAAAGTTGAAAAAAAAAAAAAAACAACAAGAGAGGAATTAAACTGAAGGGATTCTGAGTTCATAAACAGGTTTAAACATATTCAGTACATTAAATTAATATATCTGTATACATTTTATATAGTTTGTGCTTTGATAATAAAACAAACTTAAATATAAATACTGAATTTCTAACTGGATACCCTCTACTCCTGATCCAGCAACAAATTCATTAAAGAAAAAAAAAAGAACAGCAAAATCCAACCAAAGTGTTCTCCATTGCCACATGAATCCATTTTAATTTTTAGCAAGATTTCTCAAATGCCTAAAAATAGGTTTTTGCATGATAATGGCAACTCTGACTGGATTGCATAGCGTCTGCAATCATCCCATTTGCATGAGCCGTGGATAGATTTTGTTCTTTCTTTCATAGCGAATGAACAGATCAGAAAGTACCATGGAAGAAAAAAATAACTAAAAATGTTTTCAATGGAAAATAAGTTGCTTCAATTAAACATGTTGAATACATCGGTATATACTACTTTCTTTCCATGAAAAAAGAAAAAAAGAAACATAAAAGAATTTGCCGGCCTGTCTGTTCTTTCTCAACAACTGTTCCGTCCATCAACTTCAATTACAGCTGCTGCGCTGCCGTCATTCAAAAGAATGATGGTTTCATTTTTGGAATAGCACTGGAAGTTATTTAGAATGTCGTTAGAAACACAAACCAAAGCTCAAACAATGGTCTTGTACATCAAAAACAATGTTTTAAAATGCCCATCTTAGATTGCCTGGTTACGAGTCCGATGTGACGTGTTGCATTATCATTTCAGTTTGGTTTATTTCTATTGTGCAAATTCATAACAAATGCCATCTCCAGGCACTTTACAAAAAGCTAAATAATTGACCTAAATATAAAACTTGATTTAGCCACTCAAATTCAAATACATTCTAATTTGATTCGAAGGCAAATTCAATTTATAAAGTTTAGATCAAAAGATGCCCAGCTGATTGAACTAGGTCAACGACTTTACAGCACTGCCACCTAACAAGGAAGCATGTGGTGATAGTGGCAAGAAACAACTTCCCTTCAACAGGAAGAGACCTCTGACAGACCCTGGCTCAACTTGTCGTCTGCCACACTAGATTGGGATTTTTAACAGAACGCAGATGCAGACAACAAACTGTTGTACCTTTGGAACACAGATATTGTTTCTTAATTTTCAGTAGTTTTATGATTTGTCCTAACATGCATAACAAGTCATCCTTGACTCCATTGGTCCATGTGTTTATGCAATTACTTACTCTTAGGAAGCTATCGAGGGATCCGTTCTCCATGTACTCAGTGACAATCATAACGGGCTTACCTGGAAAGAGAAAACTTCTGTTAATGGTTATAATTTCTACAAACACAAACGGTCACACTACCATAAAACTGGCAGCAAAACATTATTAGTGGAAATGGGAAAAGTCAAATTTATTAAACAGTGTGGTGAGTTAAAGTAAAGTAAAACTAAAAGCCCCATTACAGGGACCAGACTGAAGATGGCCGATATTTTTTTAATACAAGGATCGGTTACATCTTGGTATCTTGGTTTCCTATAGGTCAGATGTTAAAGTGAAACGTGTTTATTTCTTTGGATCCTCTGATTGTAAAACCATGCTTCCTTGTGCCATCTGTATTTGATCAGTCATTGGCCAGGGAATGTTTGGAAATTGCAGGGAATGTAAAAAAAAAATCTTCAGATTACCCCAGATGTTGATTGAAGAGAGTCAGAGGAAGGACTTGTTTGTGTCCCAGATAGGTTCTCTGTACGTCACTCTTGACTTAACTGCGGTTTGTGCTTCTTCTCCAGTTTGATTCTGATTTATGTGCCCTCCTTCCCTCTGCCCCTTTTTATTTCTGACCTACCTTTCCTTTGTTACCCCATCCCTCGATCTCTTCTCTAATATTATTGAGAATATATTTTCTTAAAGGACAAAAGTTGAGTCTTTTGTGTAATTTGTTAAAAATTTTAACTAAAGTAAGAATCTAAGAAAATCACTGTAAAAACAGTATTTAATCCAAATAAAGCAAAAAACATTATCCTTTGAGTAAATTAATATTCTATTGAAAAATATTATCCAGATTAAATTTAATGTGGTAAAATTGATTTATATCTACAAATTACTTCAAATTACTGTGGGATTACTAAATTGTACTTTTATTTATTTCCCATAAAACCTTCTTAATTCAGACATTACATTTGTGTATTTTCGTTTCTGTGACTATTTAATTAAGAAGCATGGATTTTGCCAGTAATTTCAAAACTTTCAATAACAATTATAGTAAAACATCTCATCATTCAACTAAAGCTGGTGTAAAACGACCTCCGCCCACACCCACTTCCTAAAAGGATGTGATGGATTGTTCCCTTTACCAACAAATGACTTTTATAGTGGCCGACAGGAACACACACACACACACACACACACACACACACACACGCATACTATCCTCCTGCTTGTCCTCCGCCCTCTTCCCTTCCCTCTTTCTCTCTATTCTCAATTTTGGCAGTGAAGATAAAGGCCCCAAGGCCCCTTTGTTCCGTCAGCTAAAGTGCGAGAGTCTGTGTGCAAATGCAGATGTGTGTGTAGCGGTTTGAAAGCGAAGAAAGCACATGTGAGCATGCGTGCGTGAGCGCGCGCGCGCGTGTCTGATCCTGCAAACATGCAGCCCATGGATCAGCCAAAAGCAGCAGCAAGGTAAATGGGGTGTGAAAGTCTCAGGATTATTAAGAATTAACAGGAGCAGCTTAATAAATCACCCTCCAGCTGTGTGTGTTTGGGCGTTTAGGTGTGTGTCTGCGTGGGGAAGCATATCAAATGGACCCTCTAAAAGTAGGGCCTGCACTTGTGCTGCTCTGACTTATGCACATGTGTTCAGAACATCTCCACAAATGCCATATGCACACACACATGCACCCGATGCGTCTACTAGTCTTAGTGTAACAAGTGAAACTAGTTGTGACAGAATTCAATGCTGGTTCATTAACTGCAGAAAGAGATACATCATTCTAATCAGACATTCGGTTTCAACTTAATATAAAAAAAGATCAAACATAAATGTGTGTTTCAGTTAATTAGAAATCATTGAGAAATCAATCTTGGTGGTTATGACTATTTCTTTTTCCCAAATATGAAAACTACACAATACCAATAAAAAGTACTTTTTAATGTAGCAATGTTGTGACATTTCCTACACAATCATAGAGGAGACAGTTGACTTGATAGTTCTCCAGCAGACAGTCAGTGATACACACCAAAAGCAGAGTAAGCCACAAAAAGTCGCGGTTTGAGAATCTGGCTGTTCACAGTGTGTGGTATCTCAAAATGTTAATGGAAAATTGAATGGAAAAAAAAAAAAAAAGTTTTCCCATCCATGATTCTAAAGCAAAACCTAAAACCTGTTTAAGATTTTGGGGGCAGTTCATGAGCCAGCAGTTTATCAAAATCCAGATGAGCAAAAGCCGACCACAGTAGCCTCATAAAGCTTTTCATCTTTATGTCACACCACATTGAAGAGAGTGCATTTCTCTATTTAAAAACCCTTTTCATTGACCTGATACTACTTTTTTCTAAAACTTTTTTTTTTATAATTTTTTTTATAAAATTAACAGAATTAAACACTTGACATATCACAGTACTCTGCTTAAACAGTTTGAATCTAGACTCCAGAGTGGTGCAGTTGACGTTGGCATCAAGAAGGTTTCAAACAAAGCTCAACGTTTTGCAGGAAGTTTTATTTCAGTATTATCCTTGCAAAAACTAAATGCAGGCGGAGATAAGAGTGGCAAGAGTCAAGTACGTGAAATCAATTTCAAGAATCAGCTAAGGCACAAAGTTTTTCTTTTAGATAGTGGAAAATCAGGGAAAGTAAAAATAAGAAATAAATGTGAGATAAAAAATCTGAGAAAGTAAAGTCAGAGGAGTTTCTTCAGGTATTTTAAGAACAACTGTAGCGGTTGAACTACTTAACTAGGCAAGTGCCGCAGGGACAGTAAGAGGCCAGGTCTTTTTTCTTAGCGGCAAAGTTCAGACTCATTATTTTCCTCTTTCTTCGGTCGTTCCCTTTTAAAGAGGTCTTGTGTGTGCTAATGATGGTCTTATAAAGAGGCCCAGAGGGGTGCAAGTCAGAGATATGGATTTATGGATTTAATGCTTGTGCCTGACACAGACTTTGATCAGAGCACATTGATCTGCAGAGATTTATGCCACAGCAGCTCAGTAAAAGTCGTTGCTTTTTACACAGAAGTGTTAGGCATTTGTGGAACCATTTGTCATAGACAATTGCAAATCCACAATTGGTCTAAAAAAATAACAGACCAAAAAACAATAATCCTATCCTTGTAAGGAAAATGTAGAAACTGTCATTTTCTGGTTAATGCGTTTTCTGCTTGCCTTTTTTTTTTTTTTTTAAATAATAAAACACTTAATTGACCTGAATTCTGCCTAATCCAACGTACTATGCCTTACAAAAGTATTTGTAACCTGGAATGTATTTGGGAATTTTGCAACAATGCAATCATAAATTTTAAGTGTATTGTATTGGGATTTTTTTGTGATGTATGAAAGTTGTGCATAATAAGTGAAAGGGAACATGGTTCAGATAAAATACAAATTACAAATAAAACCCCCAAAAGTGTGACATGCATAGATTCAGCCAACCTTCTGCTGCAATTACAGCTGCAAGTGGAACTTCATGTCCAGTATTAAAGCTTTTTCAGCTCTTAATTGTTCTTTTTTTTTGTCAGAATTTCTTTCCAATGTTCTGTCAGCTCTGATCAGCTTCTCCATATCATGATGCTGCCACCGCCATGATTCATGGTGGGTATGATGTATTCAGGGAAATGTGCAGAGTAGACTTTCTTCCAAGCAACATTTTGCACGAGGCCAGAACTTTTGAATGTAAATGGACTGATGGATCTTCTTCTACGTGTTTGCCGTGTGCCCTGCTTGGCTTAAAAGCAAATGCACAGCCATATATTATTTTAATTTGTGGAACAATTCACACTGAAAAACATTTTTTTAAATATGTGTCTTTTGCATTCCTTGTTCATATGTGCGATTTTATACTATCAAGTTCGAAATGAAAATAAAATAATAATCAAATGATCATTTGATCTTATTGCTTTTAGTTTGGAAATATGGAAAACATTGTTTGGTCCATTACATAAAATTCTAATAACAAACACTGCAGTTAGAGGTTGTAATGTGATAAAAGAAAACAAAAGTAGAACAGTAGAACATGAAAATGATTTCTAATAGTTGTCTGATAGCTGTGACCTAATAGTTGCAGACTCATTTTATAACATTCATATGTATTATTTTCCCTCTACAGTGATTTATTTTTGGTTTATTAAATAAAATATTATAAATATTCATAAAAGTTGCATGTGTTAAAATGAAATGTTTCAGGGTTATACGCTATTTTGCATGTTTCCATCAATGCTTTTTTTATGTGCATCATGGAGTATTGCATTGGAAAAGATTTATGGAAACAGTATAATTTGAAATAACTTACTCAAGTTCTCAAAAAGGTTTTTTAAGCTCACGTAGCAAAGTTTCCCCTCCAGAGTGAGGTCCAAACCTAAAGCTTGGAGGTGAGAACTCTCTCGGTTTTTCAGAGACATGAGATCCGCACACTAGTTTGCAACCTTTGCTTCTTTCCCCGTTTTTGAAACATGTGAAAAGTTGGCTTTAAATTTGTGACAACATAGCTGGAGACTGACACTTCAGGTACTCATTAAACAAAATTATTTTGCTGCAGTGACTGAGAAAAGAAGTCTTTCTGTGTCTATAAATGTTTAAGTTGATTATGAATGCACTTACTGCGTGTCACTACACCCTCCAGCCTGATGATGTTGGGGTGATCAAACTGTCCCATGATTGATGCTTCTGCAAGGAAGTCCCGCCTCTGCTTGTCTGTGTAACCTCCTTTAAGAGTCTTGATGGCCACACAGATCTCCTTCTTGCTGGGCAGTTTTAGGCGACCACTGCACACTTCTCCAAACTCACCTACAGTTAAGATAACATAGACACAACACAAATCACTTGTTTGAGTGCATATCATTTTTTATTTCAATCGTCATAAATATTTAACTTCTATCCGTCTCGCTGTCTTTTCGCCAGTATGATTTTTCAAACTTTTGGTTATCTGGAGTTAAATTGTGTTATCAACATTTCAAGAGCTCACAGAGCTTTATTTGATCTTGAGGAGATGGCTGAGTTTTGCCCATCCTAAGATAAACTGAGAAAGTCTGTGGAGAATGTGTATGTTTTTGTAAGGGAGAGCAAGCTTTGTAGCCACTTCATAGGTCCATGTGACAGACTCCTGGCTAGACTATACAACTACTGTAGTCTGGTCATACCTCTTTGTGTTGTGTTTGAATGTGTGTTGAGCCTAAATGCATGCACGCCCTGAATAAGTTTATGTGGGGTGATGTCAGAGCTGAGACGTGCAGATCTTTTTTCTTAATCCAGTACACTTATATCCAAAAGCAGCTCTGGATCAGAGAGTGTGGGTCAAACAGTGGACATGAAGCAACAGTCTGGAATGACTTAAACCAGAATAATTACAACCTGTCTAAATACCAAAAAGTGTTCCTGTTCTTTCCTGGTTTGCTTCATTCCCCCGGCCTTCAGCTATGCACAGGAAAAAAAAACAAAAAAAAAAAAAACAAAAAAAAAACAAAAAAAAAAAAGGCAGAGGCACTTTCTTCATGTGGTCACTCTCAGAAAGGGGATCCTGCTCTAATAAGGCTTAATTAGGAACACTCACTCCTTTCCTGTTTTAGGAGAACCATGGTGTTTAGATTTGATGCTCAGGTCTGACCTAGCTAAGAGGACTGGTAATCTGTGTTGTTCTTGCTTTATAACACAGGTTCACAAGTTGCCAACAAGATCAAAGTCGACTTAACAATCAGAGGGGCTGAGGCAAAGTCGAAGAAATAGGAGGTTTAAATGTGTTTTGGTTTTGTGTCCTCGTAAAGTTTCAAATTTGGATAGTAGGCAGGAGACAGTTAATGGACAGCAATGTTTGCATTTGGTAAATGTAGGGGTTCAGTTCACATTTTAAGTTGCCAAAACTAAATACCAAAATCAAGCTCCACTTACTTTTTTTATTTTTTTTTGAAAACATCAAAGGAAAGATTTGACAGTTACATCACATATTTATTGGAGACTGTAACGTTTAACTCAATGAGAAAAGTATTAAGTAGGTTCTTGATTTAATTCTTTAAAAGTATTAAAACTTGAATCACCCCTCTAAAATAAAAGCAGCTTTCCTGATTATGGTCCAGCGTCTCGTCAAGTACTTTTTTTCCCAGGTCATCCCATCGGTTTTGCAGTTTGAAGGTCTGATTGGACTCTAGAAAGCAGTCTGAACTTGTGTGCCAGAGGCTGAATATATCTACTCTGACTGAACTCGACATGAATCATAATTGATCACTGTCCAGTCTTCACTCCTGCTCAAGTTATCAGCTTTACCATATAGGAAGTGATGGGGGGGGAATAACAAGACAGGAATTTTGTTTTACTTCCAGAATAAGGTTCATGGTGTCTGCTTACGGGTAGTTGATGGTTGCCTCACGTTACTTTCTGTTTTCCTGTACTATAAGTAACAAGTACAAAGATAGATGGAAGTTAAACCAAAACATAATATCTTTCTTATTGTTGTGTATAGCACTAATATAACTCATCCAGACAGTGCTTTGAAAATGTTGATACATGTAGAATTTAATTTATTCCTCATAGAGTTACTTGTGCCACGTAGATTAATTATAAAGAAGTACGAAAACAAATGGCATTAATGGTGATGTAATATTCCGAACTTTTTCTGCATTATTAATCTTCATTTAATTGCTTCAGTAGGTCATTCTGAAATCAGGGTCATGAGGAAATTTCTAAATTACACATTGCTACAATTAAAAATATTGGTGAGTACAAAGGGGGTATATTTTTACAAGTCTAATTAGAACCGAGGAGATGATTATATTCATTCTTCAACATAGTCTGGCATTACTAAAAACCTGTCCAAAACAACCCACATCTTGCATGTGTGACTAATGCAACAATGTGTTCCCTCAGTCCTACCTGCTCCCACGACTTTATCAATAGCAATGCAGGAGGCGTCAAGTTCCTTGGCAAACTCATGAACAGCCTGGCTCGGGTCCTCATAGGTGTGGGGATCCACATAAGTCCTGATTCCTGGCAGGCGCACTGCAGGAAAAATAAGAAGGAGGGATCAGGGATCAGAGAAATATAAAAAGGTAACTTAGGGAGAGGTCTTTAACTTCAGAAGAGGGTCACTATATATACAGCTCTGGAAAAAATTAAGAGACCACTGCACTGAACCCCATTGGTTATTCCACCAAATATTGACTTCTGAACTCTTGCTGAGTTAAAATAGTGGTATTGTTGTTTCTAAATGAATATGAACTTGTTTTTCTTTGCATTATTTGAGGTCTGAAGCACTGCATCATTTTCATTATTTTGACAATTTATCATTTTCTGCAAATAAATACTAAATTTTTGCTTGAAATTTCAGAAACATGTCGTCAGTAGTTCAGAGAATAAAATAATGTTCATTTTACTCAAAAGTTTACCAATAGAAAGTAAAATCAGAGAAAGTGATGATTTTAAGCGGTCTCTTAATGTTTTCTAGAGCACCAGCTCCGCCCCCTGTGACCCTGCAGTGTTTGTGTTGTGTTTTAGTAGTCTTGTCATGACGAAATTTATGTTTAGTAACTGACCCAAACAAATTATTCACAGTGTAGCAGAGTCTGTTTGGTGTCTGGGAAGTTAGGGGCTGATTCTTGGAAGAAGGTTAAAGGTGCAATAATGTCAAATAAATAGTGCTGCTTTAAGACTCTTTGAGAAGAACAAGAAGCAAAATGCAAAAAGGAAAAAAAAAAACTGAATAAAATTCATTTGAGTTGTTATCAAAAGGTATCAAACAAAACTGTATTAAAGCTAAAATCCTTAACTGTAAACTAATTCTGGTGAAAAAAGAGGAAACTATAACAGATTCTTAAACTTGTTTTTGGTCACAAAAACACTTTTCCATTTTGTATATTAATAACACATTTTCACAATAACAAAAGCAGATCCTTTTCAACATGGCCCCGTTTTTGTTAACATTTAAAATAGCTAACGTGGAATCAAGTTGAGCTCGGCAGCATCAGGCCTCGAGCCAGCATTGTCCGAGCCGTAATTCTGCAGCTACATTTTCAAGTTCGTGAAATGACGGAAAACGACATGAAAAAGACAGTGCACGGCATACTTACGGTGGCCGTTGCCAAAGTGAAGTCTTTTCTCATCAGGATGTTTGGATTTGCTGCGGCAACAAAACCTGCCAATTCAGAGAGAAAAATCCAAACTAGAGCCACAATTTCCAGTAAGACTTCACCCAATGGCTCAGCCTGGAGGCTGGTGAGAGCTTTGTGTGTGTGAGAAATCAGCTCTTATAAGCCTAGTGAGGATAAGTAAGTCTTGTAATGTGCCACGGATTTACAGTGTGGTCTGTCTGAAGACTCCTGTCAGCCAACTTGAGCCACACATCTGCTCGCAGCCACCACACACACGAATACACACAATATACGGATAGCTCAAGCGCAGATGTTTTGAATATAAATTTGTAGTGTGTGATGCATAAGGTAAATAAATTATTTTAAAAACCCTTATTCAATTAGTAATCATTTCCAACTGAAAGCAGAGAGTAAACAGACTGATGTGATTGAAGGAGACTACAATTTAAAATCCAGATGACTGATTGGGGACAGACCTTCCAATCAGGACGTAGAGCAGCACGGTGAGCAGTATGATGGCCACCGCACAGGAAATGGCAATTAAGACAACCTGGCTGTTCTCACTGGAGATTGAGAAGGCTGCTGAAAGAGAATCAAGCACAGCGTGTTTTATGGACATCAAAACACATGTATCATCTGAAAAAAAAGAAACGTACACGGTGCATTGTGGAAGAAGCTTTTCATATTTTGTTGCGTCACAACCATAAACGTCGATGTATTCGTGTTTGGAGTTTTTGTTGGAGGCCAACAACAGCTAACAGTTATGCACTGGAAGAAAATTATATTTGGATTTAATTTGTTTACAAATGAAAAATTCAAAAGTTTACTATCCATTTTTATCTAGTTTCCATTTTCCATTTTTTGTACAACTACCTTGAATGGTTCACGCTTCACACATCTAGAAACTGAAATTCTTGCCCATTTTATACAAAACAGTCTGTCATGTCTTTTGTTATTATTTTTAAAATCTGGGTAGAAATCTTACCACAGATTTTCAGTAGACATCATCTGAGCCGACAAACACATCAGTATGATTTGATCTAAACCTCATTCCAGTTCCAGAAGGATGTTCAGGGATATTTTCTTGTTGGAAGGTGAACCTCCACCAAAGTTTTGAGTCTTTTTCGTCTTCTAGCAAGTTTGTCTTATTTTTCTCAAACTACCCTACATTTAGCTCTGTGTATTCTCTGACTTACAGATGCCTAAAGCATGACGCTGCATCACCACGGTTGACTGTAGAGACTGTGTGTTCAAGGCAATCTCTAGTTTTAGTTTTTCACCTCATGTTATATTTTGGGTTGAAACCAAGATGCACACTCTGTTTATAGCTATTCCTTCAACATGTTCGCTCTGTCCCCTGCATGGCTTGTGTCAGACTGCAAGCAGAGTTCCCAGGGCTCTCCTGTAACAGTGCTATCCTGTTGTCTTTCTTCCATAAAAGGCAGATTTATGGAGCACACAACCAATAGATTTATTTTTTACTTGTCCTGCCATTTCTTGGTAGGTTTGCAAATATTTTCTAGACTTTAAATTACATAGTGGCTTGGATTGGTATTGTTCCATCACCTAACCCTGCTTACTACTTTTCCACAACTTAATAAATTTCATGTTTGGTCTTCATGATGTTGCTTGTCCTCCAATGTTCTCTAACAAATATTCAAGGCCTTCAAATAACAGCTGGATTTACACAGCGATTAAATTACAATTTATTATCAAATATGCGGTTGGTTTCACTGGATTTTACTTAGGTGTATCAGAGTAGATGAGGCTGCATAAATGTGTCTGCCAAACTTTTCAGACTTTTATTTGTAAAAAAAAATAAATAAATAAAAAAAACAACTAAACCTTGTGCTTCCACCTCAAAATTACACACTACTTTATTTGGCCTGTAACTTACAATTATATGTTGTTAGTGGTAGTGACGCAAAAGAAATTGAAAAAAAGGTATTCTTGCACAGCACTACAGATTTTCAGTTAGAAAAAAAAAATCCTCCACATGCTGAGCTTACAGTCAGGGCTGGTTTCAAACTGGAAGCTGGGGCTGCTGGCTCCATATCCAGCGGCAGTGCGAGCTCTGATCTGGAGCAGGTAGGCTGTGTTGGGCTTCAGACCATTCAGGGTCACATTACAACCCCGAGCTCGAAGAATGGTATAGCTGGTCTCCTGCTCTTCCTGGAAGACAGTAGAAAACGGTTGGAAATTCTGTATTTGTAATAATAATGTTCTATATTCCCGTTCTTTATGTTGGTGTCATAATGGAATATAGTTCACTTAATACACAAGTGCATACAGACTAAATGGATACCCATTTTTGAATACATGCACATGTATAGAGGAAAAGGGAGGGCAGAGCATTTGACAGCTTCCTTCTCAGGTTGATGAATTATCCTTTTTATATTTTATGACTTCTTCCCTACTGATCTCTAGTGACAGGACAACAGGTAGATTTACACACCAGGTCTGCATTCAATTCATTGTTTCCAGATGTGAAATGGAAGAAAGGACGGTGGAAAAAAGAAGAGAGAACAGAGCAAAGGTTGGATGAGAAAGAGAGGATATACAACATATCCATGTGTATATTTTACTGAGTTTTCTTAAGGACAAGACAAGACTCAATGTAGCTGTAAGAAAAAGAAAATCGCTTTAGACTGAAGCTATTTACAACAACAACGAAAAACCAAAAGTTCGTAATGCCCCAAAGGTTGAAATTCTTTAACTTTCTTTATGTCTAAGATTATGTTGTCAGTCCATGGCCAACACAAAATTGCAAACACACCATTTTTGACCCAGTTCTAAGCAGTGAAACATGGTTTTACAGATAAAAAACAGCACAAGCCTGACTTTAACCCTAATAAAAATCTATTGCAGATGACTTCATCATCAATCCCAAAACTGAGTTATGTCTGGAATTGTTGACAAACTCGTAAAAGTCAGTCGAGACCAGAACATGTCAAAGACTCTTTTTATTGACCCGATTTAATGCCAGATGTTTATTTGAACAGGCAGTCGTCATAGGGACTTCAAGACACACAGACATGAACACACAAGTCTGTGTGTTCAGTGTCGAGAGGAAGCTTCACGCTTCTTCATGGGGAAGAGCTCTAATGGTACGCAAAGCTTTTCAAACATGTACGTGTCTGAGGAGGAAACTGATACACCAGACCTGCGCTGGAACGACTTTTCATCACGACTATAAATCTTAGGCAGCCTGTCACAGGGCAGTGATTGAGACAACATGTGATCCCCTGAAAATAAAACACAGGTGTGATGAAACAACAAGAGAGGGCGGGAGACTATTTGCATCGCACAATATAGACGTTTCACTAAAATCCTGTTAGGTTTTAACAAGGCCCCTGTGTTCAGCTTTGCCTTGATAGTCCAAACAAAGCTGCAGCTAATTACAGCTCCTATGTGTGCACATGCAGTCATGGATGCACAACAGAAGTCTTGTAAATACCTGTTTCAACAGGCATTCCTTTTGTTTAAGGAGTCTTAAGACTAAATAAACAGCTTCAACTCAATCGGTTTTTAAGTTATCTCTCAGCTTTTTAGATTAGAATGATAAGAAATGCAGAAGCAGTCCGCAAAGTCTACCCCCACAAATTATGTTTTCACAAAGTGCCCTTGTGAATGTCTTGGTAGCTGCAGAGCGCCCCTTTTCGCCAGTGGAAGCGACAGACAGATCATATAGATCATACAGCTCTCCTGAAGATGAAACACATCTTTTCTTCTGGGAAGCTCTCTGGTTGGGAATTCCCAAGAATATCACCAGAGCTGTGTAGCTCTTGCTACGTATAGGATAGGAAATGAACAACACAAGGGCTCTGACACGTAGGACATTTGAGCTGGTAGTTCCATAACTGTGTGACATAGAAGTAAGGTCCGTAGGGTTGGAAGTTATTTTAGAAATTGAAACGTCACACAGTGATGCTTGGCCAGAAGGATACTGCTTTAAAGTTTGATGCCAGAAATTCCTGATTAAGTGTCTGCAGACCAGGAATGCAAATGTGTTAAATAGATCATCTTTAAAAAATAAATCCCTATGAAATGTTTCATTTATGTCCTTTGCTGTGCCAGGTGTACCATTAACAATCAATCACTTTAATGAGCATTTTGTAAATGTTTCTCATGATTTTTCTCACTTCATTAACTTTTCCACATTTTACCAAGTTAGAAGCACAATTTTTAATGTAATGTGCTGGGATTTAGAAGTCATTAACATTGCAACATTGTGTAATGGAAAGGCAATGATAAACGTCTCACAAATTCAAATTCAAATGAAGATCTGAAAATTATGGTATTTGTATTAGTCCTGCTTTGTGTTGGTTTATCATATGAAATATGTGGTGATAATGTTAATATATTTTGAATTACGCTACTTATTCTCTCTGCATATTATCTTATGTTTATTTTTTTTTCTAAAGACCATATACACACAGGTAAAACTACATAATTGTGTAAATTATAAAAAGAGACATTTCGACTTTTTTCACAATATGACATGAATTTAGACAAAACCTTTCATGTTTTAGGTCAGCTATGATAATCAAAATTATTGTTAAATGCTGAATTAATCCAAAGAGACACAGATCAATAATTATTGCAATATTCTTATCACAAAGGACAACTTGGAGTGGAATAAGCACCGGCAAAAACAGTATAGTCCCAGCGTCATGAGTTTGCATTTTACAAGCTGATGAAATATTTAGCCAGGTGAGCAGAGTCTGGCGGAAGCAGGTGCTCTTCCCAGACACACATGACATTGCTCAAAATGCTAAATGTCAAAGAGTGATGGAAGCACAGAAAAAACAGAGGAAATAAGGAAATGGGCACATATCGCACCTGATGACATCAGAATATTTACCAATCACATCACAAAATTATCTAATATCCTGCTACCTTAAGTAATACGTCTTTAAATCATTTAGAGAAGCCCAGATGATGATCTTCTGGCTTTGCAAGCTTCTGATAGGTTAATTCAAAACATGTGATTTAAATGGGGGCATGTCTCTGGATAAACTTTAACCTTCAAATCTAAGAGACATCATGATAAAACCACAAGAAATCAGACAAAATAATATGTTTCATTCTTGTGCACAATTTCCTGATTTATACAGGTGCCATATTCATATGTTTACCAATTCTGCACAAGTCAAAGTATCAATTGTAGCACTCAGGAAGGAGATGGATTATTTGTCTTGGTGGAAAGGTGTACAACAATCTTAGAAAATCAACAAAAGACCAGATGCTGACAGACGCTGGAAAGAGAGTGTCATTATCTACAGTAAAATATGTCCTGAACTGACATGGAATACAAGGCCATTTATATTGTAAGAAGCTATTATGACTTTACATGACTTCAAAAATAAAACAGCACCAACTGCAAAAAGGAAGGGCAAAAATGCAAGCCAGCAATCAGAAGAAGCTTGTTGAAGGATACCTAGCATGTTTGACTCAATCACACAGTTTAAGAGGCAATTCTAGAAGAAAATCAATGTACTCTTCTGAATTTGAAGATTGTTAGAGCCAAAAAAAAAGATCCTTCTTATTACGTTTAGCCTAATTTAATGTTAAATACAAGAAAACAAAATAATTTGCCTTTTATTAGATGTAAACATATGATTTTCAATTCTGCATTTCAACGGTAAATTGTAGTATGATTTTTACAAAGAAAACTTTGTGTTCAGATGTGTGCACCGTGGGCCCTAATAGCTGGTATGCTCAGTGAGAATCCGCATGCTGCACAAAGGGGCCTCTCTCTTTCAGTGATCTAGGAGGAGTCTTGTCTAGTTGGTTGAGTTCTGGTTTCTGGAAGAGAGAGCTTTTTGACAAGGAATTAAAATCCTTGGGTTGAATATTTATTTTTCCTGAAGGATTTCAAATACTGGGACTCGGTGCAAAAGTGTCAAGACTCTCCATTCCGTCTATCCTCTGAACTCCATAACAGTTCTGTTTTTAATCATCAAGCATTTGCCATGGCAGAGCGTATGCTAGAATTTCAGCAATCCCAGTTTACAATTAGACATGCAAAGAGATTTGACCCTTTGTTATTAACTTGTTCTTGTTTTAACGTCTAAGGAAAATATATCAAAGAAGAGCACAGAGTTCAGGAAGCAAAGAGCTTCTGTCAGCTTACTAATCAAGACATAAAGGGCCACAATTGGCATTCAGGCAATATGATCTGAGTTTCACTGATGCTCACACACACACACGCATTAATACACAGAGAATAGGCCAGGCTGATTAAACTTGCATCCACGGCTAATTGCACCATCAAATGTCAACCTAGCACAGCATCGGCGCTGAAAGCCAGTGTAATTCGTTCTGCACTAATTTCCCTCACAGAGAAATGAGGGGCCCCACAGATGCATTTACTGTCTGCCATAAAACTTGTCTCCATTAAGGAGCTAACTGCAGAGGAGAACAGCATGAGAGATTAAGGAAAAGATGGAAATGAAGGATAAAAAATAAAAATGTGTTCAATGTAAGGGGAATAAGTAGAAGAAATAAAAAAACTAAAGGAGGACACGCAAAAAAAAACAAAAAAAAAAAACAAATATGGTAAGAAATTGGTTGTTTTAAAGTTTGAATTAAAATGCAGGATCTCTCCTTGAGCTGAAAGCCATTTGGCTGGATAGTGAGACTGCTGAAGTGAGCCAAATATATTTCCAAGCTCAAGTGCTGATACAAGACCTAGAAAGGTATGAGTACAGATTCAGCTTAATATTTAATAATAAAAAAAAAAAAAATAGAAAAAGCACATTCCTTGACATGTGTTTTATGAATTTAGTTAAACTTTGGGGGGATGGAAAATGCTGAGCATTAAACCTTTTTCAGACATTAATAATAAAAATCACTATATTAAAAAAATTAAAACACTGACACAACAATCTCCCTACGGTACGTAGCTTAAAATATTTCTATTAAATAAAGCTAGTACTGTTCAAGAATAACTTCCTGCTCTAATTGTGCTGTGTCTGCAGTGTTGTCTGCTTCACTTTCATCCACTTCCTCAGTGAGTCACTCCTCTTGTCAAAAAGATTACATTCGGGAAGCTCTCTGTCTTTTTAATTATATTATGCCATTGCATCCTGTTAAAGACTGTTGCGTACCAATGGATGGACAAAGACACAGTTGCTTTCTGATCAGTATCTCATCTCTGTAAGCTGGAATCAAGTGGTGGTCTTTGACATGGTTGATGTTCAGTCTGAGGACAGAACACCTTTCTATCAGCATAAACACTAAAAAAACAACATAACATTTGTATCTCAATTTATTTATTTTTTGCATAGACTGTTTGTATTGCTATGTGATATGATACTGAGTCAAAGTCAAGGCACGCTACATGAACTTAAAAAAAAGGGCGTCCAATTTTAAAAAAATTGAGCTAATTTCTTAAAATTAATCAAAGTCAATCCAACCTAAATAAAGTAAGTCTGACAAATGTAATTCGACTAGATGTAACACTCAATTTTTTGTAGTTGGAGTTGTGAGTATTTATGGTGTGCGTAGGTCATGCAATGTGTCTGGGGTATGATCATGTCTCATGGTGCTTCATTTGTTTGAAAACTCTTCATTTCTAAGCATAATTTTTAAAGCAACGTACACAAAAACAACGCCTGCAGGCTCAAAACTGGTCAACACACCATTTCTTCTTGCAGCTAATTGGTCGGCATCATTTCATGGGAAACGCCATAAAGGAGTGCTTTCATACCGGAGGTGCTCAGGCTCTTTTAAACAAACTCTGGCTAGTTTCCCTCTTTGGTGCAGTTAATTTATATAGAAGCAACCACAGCAATAACACTAGGGTATGGAGAAAAACAACCATATCAAGATCGTTTGGATGAGGTGATCTCAGTTCGGTTCCAAAGTTTAGAGAAGTTTGTTTGTGGTGTGAATGGGATCTGACCTCAGTCAAACACGGCTTCCAGGTGTACAGTGAAAACTTGAGTCAGTGCAGTAGAATAAACAAACTCATAAACATCAGTGGAATGTTTTTCTCTTAAAGCCTACTAGTATGTGCTATATGCATTTAATTCCTTCCATCAGTTCTGAGTAAAGAAATTCATTTAACATATTTTTGAAAATGAAATCTAGCTCAAAAGAGGGTCTGTAGATCACCCTTCCTTCTTTGAAGACACATGGACTAAAGGTTTATGTTATTATGACCCTTTAACTATTTTCTCCACCAACCTTTTCGTAGTATTTAATCTCATAGTCCAGGATGATGCCGTTGGGTCTGTCTGGTTCCTGCCAGGACAATGAGACACTGTTTCGAGACGTCTTCTCCTTTCGGATCACAGTTACTGGAGAGGGAGCTGGGCCAGAGACATAGACAGACACAAGGTGTAGGAGGGAGAGAGAAGGTTCTGTTAATGTAAGGTTCAATGGAAGTTCAGGCCCTGGTGCTGAATACTGGAAACTGTCTGTAGCTCCTATTAGCCTAATTCAGTTTGCTGAAATGTGAGGGTGAAACATGGGCAGAATCAAGACAGATACTGTAGCAAGATAGATTGATAGTTAGCTAGATAGATAGATAATTATATTAACAGTTACTCATAGCTCTACCTACAGTGCTGCAATTTGTCATTTCCTAGTACCCTTACCAGTATTCTTTTTTTCGTACCACAAACTCTCAAGGTGGTATGACAATAAAAAAAATCCTTGAATCCTTTTATATTAATATTCTTTCAACTGAGGGAGCTTCAATAATATGTGATAAAATGAACAAGACTCAAATCTACCGCCATACATTAAAAAAAAACAAACAAAAAAAACAATGACCAACAAATAATAGAAAAAAAAAAACCCTCCAAAGATCCCACCACTAGCTGACTAAATAAGCCGCTCATTGTATTATAAAGTATAGTAAAAGATATCCATAGTCTCATAGACCAAACTTTATCCCAAATGTCATAGTTTGTCTGTCAGGTTTTACCGCAGTTTCTATTCTTCCAACACATTTTTGGAAGGCCTGTGATATTTTTCTGTGGAAACATTGTGAACCTTTTACTTCCGCGTCTCCCTCCACTGTCCTCGTCTCTTTTGGTCTGTTGCTCTCTTCTCCTTGCCATTTTTCCTTGCCAATTCTTCACCCATGCATCGCCTTGCCTCAGGGAGTTCACATGGTCCCAATCTAGTGATTCTACACATCTCTGCCTTTATCAAGCATTGCTTTCGTCCCTCGGTCTGCTACTCTATTTCTATCTCTCTCTCTTTTGCCTTCTCTCTCTCCCTCTGTCTTCTCACTCCCTCTCTTATTTCCCTTTTTACTGCTCTCTAATTGCCAGGCAGCTTCGGGCCCAACTCAGCATCTGAGGCATCGACTTTTAATTTTATTAGACCACAGGAAAAAACATGTTTGTCTTTGAAATGTTCAAGCCTCTCTTGATTATGATTATATGGCCACAGAATGCGTCTGAGTGTGCATATGCATGCTTGTGTGTATTTCTGCGGGAAGTTATTTTTTTCTCCTGTAATGAATCCAGATGGGTAGAATCTGTTCCTATACCCCCATGCGCCTCCTTTCCTCCTCCTCTCCCTTTGGCTCCAACAGCGGGGTGAGGCTGTGCTTTTTATTGGCTCTGTGGTTTATGGTGGTAATGATTTACTGAGTCTGGGTCGCTTGGAGGCAGCTTCAAGTTCCTCTCCTCCCTGTTTTTTTTTTTTTTTTTTCCACACCCCTCTTATATCTCTCTCTTAATGTCTATCGCCAAGCACTTAAATTCCTGTCACTCTCTTTTTCTGTCTAAGGCAAAACTGTAAAAGTGACACAGCACAGAATGCATATAACGGCTTTCAATACTGACAATTGGTATATTTCACGTTAGGAAATAACACACAACAATCGGAGGCAGTGGATAATGATATAGTTGATTGTTGGTACTGTGACTTTTAACAGTGTTATTACCATTTTAACTTTTACGTATTTTCTCATAATGATACCGTAGAAAAGTAGGCAGTGCAGGGTATGTATGCATACATGTGAAATTAAATGAACTTTCTTTTTGCAAATAAACACCTGAGAAGTGGGACAGCCTCTGTTTACTGTGGTAACCCTATAAGACATACTGTGCAAGTGTAACCAAATGAGTAACCAGAGTTCATGTGTGCAGTATTAAAAAATAGCTGTTATTTAAAAGCCTCGCAGGGGGAAAAAAAAACAAAAAAAGTAAACAGCTTTGTGAGGATCACAGAACTCAGAAGACAGATCAGTGTTCAGTTATGCAACGATATCCTAAACGTTCAACTGTACAATCCATCATCTGAAGAAAGAAGTACAGCACATCTGCAAACCTATCAAGACATGGCCATCTACCTAAACTGACTTGCAGGGTGAGGAGAGCATCAATCAGAAAAGAGGTCGGAAGGCCCATCGTAACACTAGAGGGGCTTCTGAAAACCACAGCTCAGGTAAAAGAATATGTCTGAGGATCTTCGAGGGTGAGTGGCAAGCAGAAAGACAATGTTAAGGGAAAGCTTAAGGAAGTGTCAGGGACACAAACATGTAAGAAAGGTGCTTTGGCAACATGACATCAAATTCAGTTTTTGTCCATGATGCAAAAAGCTATGAGTTAAGAAAGACTAA